AGTTTTTCGTGGGATTGGACATTGACATTGCAGCCCAAATGCACCGTAAGAACTTAAACTATTGCAGGACTGTGCTCGCATCGCCGCAGAACAGTGCCCACACCAGTTACCATGGCGTGCAGAATGATGCATGGTCTGACAAGAGAAACATTTCTCTTGTTTTCCTAGGTATCCGCAGCAGGAGAGCCAATCAACAACACATCTTAACTGAATAGAGAGCGTTTTCATCCCCTTAAGTTCATCTCGCTTTACCCCTTCGTTTGCCCGAGGCATGCGTTCGATAGGCCCGAATGCTCCTCGCGAGCATACCAGTGATGCGCCAACGCATAAAAGACAAAGCGCACTCATATCGTCATCCGCTCTGAAGTAATACGTTGCTCTTTTCATCAACCCTACTGGAGTTCTTCAAGTAATTTCAAGACAATTCGCGTGTAAACGAAATTGTCACTGAACAACGGTGCCCACATATCGTCTCATTACCTTCTTCGAGGAACTACCTTCCATCTAGGTTAGCGCATTTAGGCAATCACACTCATCTAAGGCAGGTCCCTGTGTGCCCGACACTTCCAAACTCCCCAGCTCTGTAAACAATGCGAAAGAAATTCAACCCTGGCAGACCAAAAGTCCAGTCTGTATTTCGGCTTTACAACCGTCTAATTTAACAAGCATTTTCACCCAAACATTCTTACTAAATTGACGAACTTTTTAAAACTCAAAAAGCGTATTCTTTGTTTTCGCATGCTTGCTTTGTTAACCTTCGGAGTCGGTCTTCCAGCAATGACCGAGTATTAAATATCCAGCGTACCGATCACCTGAAAAGCCACGGAGTCCCCAGAATCCCTTGTCCACTATCACAGTGTTCCTACTCTATAGCCACCCGCTTTCCAGCGTTGAGGGGAGTAACCGACTTGGTCGCCGAGGGTGACTATGCATTAGCAACGAGGACGCTCGAAATACTTAGGGGGATGAAAGCCGCATTGTTCAGTAGAGTTGAACATCTATGATCCGAGCGCAAAAGTGCGGTGGATACAGTTGCTAAGACGCACTTAGTAAGAATAACAATAAAGAACAATAGTAAGACAGTAGGTTTTGGTGCGAATGGAGTGTAGGGAAAATAGAAGTATGAAAGAAATCCGTTAGACTAATCAGAATGGAGCGAAAACTAACGACGAGATGAAAGAGGCCGAATGCAGAAACGCCACTGACTTTGTGATTGCGCCATGTCTGACACGGTCTCCAACCACTGTGTGGACCGTCACAAGGTTCCCATAAAAAGAAGACGGCATGCACCAGCATGACCAAACCCTTAGTCAATTTCTTCAAGCTTCTATGCCACGTCATGAACTGGTCACCCAGAAGTTTCGCTCAAATCGGCGTATAATGCACGTCGAGAAAGCCGAGTAACGGCAATAAGGAGGATACGGCTTAGCAAACGGAAGCGGCTAAGATACAGCAAACACTCGAGAGAGGCTTCTTGCCAAAAAACGACCTGGAGGACCTCAGCATTGCTCACCCGATGTTCTCACCAGACGTAAATACACCATAATCACCGATGGTCAAAGACAGCCAAAGGTTTAGTGTATGCACTGCGAGCTGTCCAGATCTCGAATCCATAGAGTAACACCGGCCTTATCGCAGCGTTATACGCCATACTTTTGCTGACGAGCTGATATCCCACTGCCTCCACAGGAGGTGCAGCCACTGGAAAGCCACTCGGGCCTTGCTGATACGCGATGTAATTTCCTTAGTGATGTGACCACCAGAGGTGACACAACTACCAAGGTAACTGAACCGATCCACCGCTTCCATTGACTGCTCGGTGACAGCTGAAAGCAAAGGTGTGTCGGCCCAGCTCTGCAGCAGTACTGAACACTGAGGATGAAGCGCTACACGGGAGTCTACCCAGTGTAATTGCATAGCCGATGCATCAGACCCAAGGAGAACTATGTCGTCCGTATACCACAGGTTTGTCAGTCGCCTGGCAGAGCTTCCACCTCAGCATAGTCTGAATGAACCTAGTCTTTCATGATCATTTCGATCACAAAGTTGGGGAAGAAAGGAGATATACGACAACGCTGGGGAATTCCACTAGTCGTAGGAAACTCAGGAGACAGTTTCCCGTAAATTCTTACAGGTCCTCGGGAGTCACGATAGACTGCATAATGGATAGGAATTTAGCCGGCACGGCCGTCATGGATAGGCAGTGTCACAAGCTGGCGTGGTCAGCAGAGTCTAAGGCGGCTTTAAATTCAAGGAGAACCATCATAGTCGGTCATCGGCAGGTGTCTGCTCGATCGCATTATTCGTGAACTGCGCAACGTCCTCCTGGTGACAGAAGAAAAGATGTATCCTCGGCGTTTGTTGCAAGTATTTTGCAATCCCGTGAGCTCGTTCAGACGACCCAAGGACGATGTACGCTAGTTCACATACAAATAGTAGACAATCACCAAAGCTGAATCTAACGAAGTTGCGTCCACTCTGTACCCACAGCGCGTTTTCCTTTCCTGTCACATTTACTAACCCCAGATGCCTATTTAACATATCTCGGCGACGCAAATCAAGGTAGATAGACTCCTCACACTCAGGTAAATGGACCGTGGCCTATCATCTGAAAATGATGCAGCCGCTTCTTGTGAAGCGACGCAATCGAGACGTGTGTCAAGTTCGTATTTATGTTCTCACGCATCACACCTGAGTGCGTGAAAATCCCTCGATCACCACAGCGCCCGATTCCGGAGTGAGAGGTTGTCCGTATCCAGCAGGCGGCTGTTGAGGTGTCATGCATGGACCTGTTTCGCTTCTAACAATTGGATACACTGGCACACATATGGTTTGTCCGAAAAAGTAACGTTAATGAAGCGATTAAAAACACTTATGAATACGATCGGTACAATATATTAAAATGTTGCAAAATGAGCTGCACCAGCGTCGAGTCATCGGTACCAGCGAGATTTTCAAACATCGAAGCCATCAGGTTGGGCCTTTTCTAGTATGTCCTCTACAGTCTTGGTGCTAACCACTTTGACTTAGTCAACTTTCCCGAAATGATGTCCCTTGATGGGGAGTTTAAAACGGCAGAACAAGGAGAAGTCTGGGTGCTACAAGTCAGAACTGTGGGGCGGCTGGAGAACCGCCGGAAACTTTGAGTCGGCTAGGAAGCGGGCCACGAGGCTCGTGGTGTGGGCTGGCACATTGTTATGATAAAGTGTTCATTTGTCCGCGATATCAGGCCGGGCACGATGAACCCTTCGTTTGAGCCTACTCAACACTTCCACGTGGAAGTGGGCATTGGCGGTGAGACATTGTGGTACGAACTCATGGTGGACGAGCCCTCTGAGGTCAAGAACCACAATGAGCATGGTCTTGATCTAAGATTAGCTCAACCTAGCCTTCTTAGGGCGACGGGACGCCGAGTTGAGGTGTGCCACTCAGTACTTTGCACGCGGGGGGGGGGGGGAAGGCGAGAACGAGTTTCACGAATATGGCGGTCCTTACTCTGCGGACGGTCGCAGACGACTGAGCGATTGCGCGTGCGTAACCTATCCTCCGTCTACCGATCTCAACCAACCTGAGCGGGATGCGACGTGTATTCATTTCACATTGAAACCGTTGACATTACTTTTCGGACAAATGTTGTATGCACCCTGGATGAATAAGAAGCGAAAGTAAAAATAATCATATATTAACCTACAGTCCAAAGCCTGGTTTTACCGACCAGAAAGGCACCACCTGTTGGAGGAAAAACTATTTTGATGGATTATGTGGATCAGTGTGTTGACCGAATCACGGGGAAGGGTAGGTGGCATGCGCATATGAGGCGGTCACGGGTAGGTATTCGCAGAAACAACTGAACCACTCCGTGCTTCGGCTGCAAACATTTCCGTATCAGGCTAGGCAACGTCTTCAGGTCCTAGCCTGCCAGCAATGCCGTTACGCCTACTATGCAGTGAAGACCTGAGAACAATCGCTAAGGAAACGACTGCAAATAAATTACCAAGGTAGGTAAACAAGTCGACCTCGCAACACCCGGCCCCTAGAATTTCGATTTACTGCAAACTCCCACAAAGTGACTTAGGCTCCAGACTTCCTCTGATTTCCGGTCAGAGATGAAGACTTGGCTTCCATATTCCTCATCTAACCCATTTGTTTTATGAGCGGGAGGTGGATTGGCCAAGTAATCACTCCCGTTGAGCTGAGGCAAATTGCTGACCCAGTCCACAGGGCTTCGTGGACAGCCTTTAGCTCAAAATATTTATTGACCGAGTTCCGAGCAGAGGGCAGGTCCGAGTCTACACGTCTTACCCATCTGATTATGTTAACATTTGCTAGATCAAATCGATGATTTTCAACATGGAAGCCAAGTTTTGACCTCTGACGGGAAATAAAAGCAGATCCGGAGCATAGCGCTAGGGATGTCGTTCAGCATAGCGATGAAACATTCGGAACCATAATACTCAGCTCCGAAAAACAACCACTCCATAGGCACATAGAGCCATAAGTAATCCTTAACAATTGCCAGTACATAAAAATTTCAAAGCGTTTACGAACTAAACACATCGAGAATGAAACAATTTCCCATCAGCGCAAAGTGATTGAAGTCGAGTTACTTTGATAATTTCTGAAGAAATGCAGGTGACTCCATAAAATGAAGTTGGGATTAGCACTCAGTTGCTACAGGTGACGGTGGTAACGCACTTCCATTACAGGTCCAAGCACATTGTTTCCAAATGCCCAACCTAATGACAAACTGATTCCAGAAAGTTGGCACAAAAAACCAGATGCGGAAACTTCTATGGACAGAGAAGGTATCACCTCCAAAGAGGAGAACCTTGAGGACAGAAATGCAGCTGCAATTGAATAACTTAAAGCCGGAGGCAATGCGACTAGGTACGAAATTTTTCCATCACCATTGTCAAGTTTAGTGTGCGAGTTGACAACGCAAGGGAGCAAGTAGGAGAATTCCCACCCGACACAACTAGCTGTAGCCAACAAGTCATTTTGTAGTTGTAACGAAGCAACCAAACACCATCGCAAAGCAATTTATTCAAGATTCGCAAGCAGGGTCAGCAACAAGCTGTTGAATTTGATTCCATTTCTTTTGGCGAAAAATGGCTTGTGTCGATCGATAGAACAAACGGAGACAAGGGAAAGCAGAGCACGCAAAGCAATCGTATCACGCAGGTGAGCAGCAACAACCAACAGAACAACGGGGATCGAATGAACTTCGATGTGAGTCGATGAAGATGAAAAAGGGAATCTGAAAAGCCGGCGATGGAAACTTACTGTGTCGTACTGGGGGATTAGGGGCTAATGTGCAAAAAAGCGTTCAATGTCGTTCAAGCAAGCGAGGACACGGATAAAGTGGGCCGCAAGCAGCGGAGTTTGTTAAGAACATCAACACCAACAGTGAGAAATGGTCACTGTCACGGCTCGTGCTATACAGTAAGATCAAGGAATTCACCATAATATAACACGACTGAAAACAGGTGAATTTGTGGAATTTAGAAAAAAAATTATGACGAGGAACGCTGAGTTGACAAAAAGCTACTGAGTGAAAAGTGACTGGAGTCGAAGATTATTCACAGGCTGAAACGCCAACGGGTTGTAGAGTGAAAATGGCAGATTAGCCTTTAATCAATAATGGCTGAAACATAGGGAACCCCCCACGGTCTGAAGTGTACGCGAGGTGAATTAGAGTGATCCGTAGCACATACCGCGAAAAAGACAGGCAACAAATTGCATGCGACAAATTAGTTGTGTATCTTGATGGGTTTTTCGTTCGGAGCGAACCGAGGACGTTTGGAAGGCTTATGCTCAATGCCAAGCCATGGCCTATATTCAGGCGCGCATGGCTGAGTGAAAACCTTAGTCTGAACCAAGGGATCCTCATCGTTCGGAATGTAGGTGGCTTCCGTTGGAAACATGACTGCGAAGCGCCACCGTTCAAACTCTTTTTCCGGGACATCAAGTCGCCGTCTTATACGCTCGCGTACGGCACTGTAACGTTCCCCGTCTCGTATACGAACTGTGAAGGGAATGCCGAAGGTTTCATGTAGCTCTTTGTCAAAGTGCGAAACGTACACAATCGCCTCGTCCGATTTTAGATTAAGTTCATCCATGGGTATTTCCTCTATGCGTAGACTGTGGACTGGAGGACTGGAAACGCAAGACTGAGGCAAGAGAGTAGATGGCGGTATGGAGGAAAGCGTCAAATTGGCTGCGAATTCTTGAACGATCCGATTTGCGGAAACTTCCAGCAAGCGAAGCTGTCCAGAACCTTCTGGGAGTAACACAAGATGGCGACTAGCTTCTTTCAGAAGATCAATCACCAAACCATTTTGGGGGACGGATAACAAAAGCTCTGCCTTGACCGATAGCTTGGGGCCAACAAATACGACGCGAACTTGGCGCATAGTTTCCAGTTCGTCTATGCGAATAGCTAGATGAGCGTAGTAAATCCTTCTTGGAGGTGGAAAAGTCACTGTTCCAAGTGGAGAACGATTAACGGTTTTTATACCACAAAACTGGTTAAGCGGAACGGGGAAGCGATCAGGCGCTGGTACATTGCCATCAGCGGAAGCTGAGGTTAACCTAGTGTTACCCGAACAAAAACCGGGAGCTAGTCCACTGGCATCCGAAGCCCAGGAAGTATTGCCGGGAGATATTAAGAATGGTAGCAAAAAATCACGCATGGAGCCGGAGTGAGTAGATGGAATAGCAGCACCTGATGGTTCCTGAGCTAAGCCTTGAGCAGCGGCAATTGCAAGCAAGTTGCTGGTGTACGTAGAGCAGTTCAGAAATCCTGTAAAACAGAACAACGGTGTGATTAATAGTCAAAAAGACTAGCCCACAGACAGAATCATCAACGAGCAAATGTAAGGAATGCATGCAAATGCAGGGCGAACGTGCTTGTGAAACAGTTGAGTTCGAGAAACCTAGTAAATCAGCTCATTCAAATTATTTATGTGTAGACTGAAAGCAACAGACCAATGTGTGAATCAGCTAGGATAGAGCGGCGATTCAGCTAAAGTCAACACTCAAGGGGATGATGCGTTCCATTTGCAGTGGTGCACGAAACCAGAGATATTGGAGAAAATCGCGACCAACTGGTGGTGGCTCGTGTTTAGTCACTTAAATATGCTGTGCTTGAGTCCCCCGAGGTAGCACAACACGTGGTCCAGGAGAGTAGCAAAACCAAGTATTTAAATTTAACGGTAGATGTGTAAATATAAGGAGATAACCACTTTGTCAAGCTATATAAATCCATCCCGAAGACCAAATGTGGCGGAAGCCCAAAACCGACATTGCAGAGAAACGATCATACAAAAAACGCATCCGACACAAAAAGACAGTTAATTACCTAGTTTTACTAACCTGAGGCACGTGCTGCGATCACCTGTGGCGTAAGATTTTGGTCGGCAACTACAGCGGTCCCAGTCGCCGAAGCTCCGGTACCAAGACTGTCCACAGGTGCACAAGTATTGCCAGACACCGCACCGACACACAAATCAGAACCAACCGGAGAGGAATTCAAATCAGAGCCCACAACACCAGAAGCAGGAGTTCCTAGAGGAGATGCTGAAATAGGAGCAGTAACTGCGTTTGCCGCCCCACCCAAAATTTGTTGTGAGCGGAAAAATTGTAACTTGTCACTCTCCGTTGACAGATGAGCAGCTGCTAGGTTGGCAAACTCCCAGTACGTGAGATCAGCAGCAACACGGAGCAGTATTCCAGCGTCTGAGGGACGCATTTTATCAACAAGCAGAATATCAACCTACAAAAAGCATGGAAGAATAGTGCACACAAAATTGCTCGGTGGGATTGACCAGTGATACAACTGATAAAGTAGATAGCTGTGCGTGACAGGGGAATCTAACCTAGAAAATGAGTTGCGCCGATGAAGGCAGAGAGTAATGCTTATATGTTGGTGCTACGGAGAATAGTAACGAGATTTTGGGGAAAATATCCTGACAGGAGTGTTAGCAAATTAAGCGAAATCATAGTTATAGGCATTAGTATTACACCGTACCCACGCTTTGCTGCTACACGACCAACACCAATCGTGCGCGGGCTAAGGATACTGCGAGGATCGCCCGGTCCACTGTGCAGGCTCAAACCCGCGACCTAAGGGTTGCAAGGCATACGTCTTGTAATTTCGGTCACTATAACATACTAGTGCATCGCTGATCGGAAACCAAAAATAAGAGAACCGATGAGTACGGTGACAAATTAATGCCGTTCAAGTGAAGAAATTCTATCTAACGTGAAATTCCCCATATCTCTGCAGTATCGCAGCAATGTACGACTTTTGGGGAATGAAAGCCCACTGGCCCGTCGATGGCTTTATAGCATTGTCGTCAAAATATTGGTTCCCGTCCAACAAACAGGATACATGCGGAAAGGTAGCAGAACCTTTACAATATTAAATTAAATCACCTGACTTAAGTAGCTTGAAAAATAAGCATAGATGGACAAAGGATCACGGGAAGTTAACTGTTGGTCGTGGAGCACAGGAGACGCAGTTTGAACACGTGCTCCGGATAAGTTTGATTTTGCGCCAATGGTACTTGGCACCGTCGCGAGCCGGTGCAAGAAGAAAGGATCGGTTGAAAGGGCCTCAGTTAGTTCCCCTTTGACTGATGCGTTGGACTTGCCGAGAGAGTGGTGTGCAGATAACAGACCGTTGATTCCGTCAGTGGATTTGTCAACAGAGCCCTCAACGTTCTCTGCTGTGTGGACGGGATAAGGTGAGGAGGCGTTATCTTCATCGGTGAGAACGTGTAAAGCATCCCGTCCTATTTCCGGTGAACCGATAACAGTCGCAGTAGGAATTATAGCACTCTGAGAGGAATCCACCTGATGAGAAAGAGATTGACATAAAAGTTCGGTAAAACTATACACACACACAAGCGATGTAAATGAATATTGAGAAAACGATTAGCTGAAAAGGTTGGTATCGCAGAAATAAATGGGTGTGAAGCAGAGGCCGAGGGGTGGTGGATGCGGTGCACACAAATGCGAATGGGACAACGAAAGTGGGTTTCATGAGTGGGACTAAAAGTAAATCCGAAAGATGATGCTGTATTCCGAGAACACAGGAAGCTTACCTGAAAGTAAATGAGTTGACCTTGATGCTCACGCTTGTATAGCTTAGAAATTGGGACTTTGAGCTGAACTATTTCGGATACGGAGGTCTTTGGATCATCCTGGAATAGGAGTAATGGGCAACCATTTGGAAGGCCAGCGCGCTCACGAAGTATGGGTTCCAATGATGACAAGCACTCATCACTTCCTAGCTCAACGTGTCCACAAAATGTGGTCGTCCAGGAAATGGGATCGAAATATTTCAGGAAGAAAAGACGTTTGTCCACTTGCTGGAGTTCATCATGTGTCATCAAGGGTCCGGTATCAGGTGTGAGCGAAGAAACGGAAGGCTGAGCGCACTGAACGAAGAATATATGTACATCCTTCGGAGTGAATTGCAGGGGGTTGTCATTTAACTCTAGCAGGTGTATCGGAACGTTCTTGCGACTGAAATTGTGTGAAAGAGTGAACAGAGTGACATAAGGTAACTCAGTGGTTAGTGATAAAAACTGAACAACCACTGTTCAGACAAGCCATCATTATCATCAGCAATAGCAGTACATCCATAAGTTCAACTAATGCTTTGCTGTCGTACAACTGGTGACACACAGAATGGGATTAATGTAGGAATGAAGGGAGTGAGAGTTACTGTTATGTCGATTGCAACTACACAGTTTCGAACCGCAGACATGTGGATTACAAAGCAGAGGCATTATCGGTCCCCGGGACCAATCGTGAATCCCTTCATTCAAGATAGGAATGTTTAGACTCACGAGTAGGGAGGCCAAGTACTAAAGTAAGAAGCCCAACTAGGAAAGGGATCAAGTTTCGTACCGAGACAGAGTTGTCAGCGCTATATAAGCTGTAGAAAAAAAGTTAGGCGATCGAATTACACAGACACATTGAACCGACGTTCGCTGCCAAGCGACCACCAGTTGTCGCGAGTGAGTGGGATATACTGCGGAGTCGCACTCACCTACGTAGATTGGAACCGATGCAGGCGTTTCATCCTTTCGGTCATATAATCAATAGTAGTGCTATTAGCAACAGTCTACCGGATAGATATACAACGAAAACAAACCATGAGCAATTATAGGAAGAAAACAGGATTAATCACCGCATTATCATCATGTCACAGTAGCTGAAGGTGAGTAACATGCTTTAGCTACAGTGCGGCAGCAAGAACGGAACTCTTAGTTTTTGCCTACTATTTTATTTTTTGTCTTTTTTAGTTCTTAAGTATTAAGCATCTGGATCTAAACACGTCTGTGCACAGATCTTCCATTGGTTTGGATTGTGCACCATATCCCGAAGTGTTTCCAGCCATCGGCTCTCTTCGTCCTTTGGTTTCCAACTAGGCGGACGTGTGAATCCAACGGCAGCAAGACATGAAGTCAACGATTTCATATGCTGTCGCTAAGTGGATGGCTGAAGACTACGTGGTTTTTTAAGCCAAGTCTGGCAAGAGCAAAAAGGGCCTAATAGGGCAAACGTTCTGCTGATATACACAGGACGTGACCGAACCATCTTAACTGATGCGGCAAAACCAGCTTGTTGAAGGGAATACCCGCAATCACTAAGACACGACGTCTGAGTTCACTGTTCCAAGAACGCTGTTGCCACCATACGCAAGCGCTCCTCCTCAAGCCCCCATCATCTAAGACCGAGAGCTGATCAATAATAACATAAAAGAAACGTTGGAGTGCTTACCGCGGACGAAAATGCCAGAGACGGATAGCATCCGCGGGGTGGTTCAAAGCTGTAGCAACAAGTTCGATGAGTTGACCACGCGTGGTTTGTTTGGGCACTCGAAGCATCCTACTGGGCAACAACTCCTGGCCACATAATTCAGGACCCTGAAAATGTAATTAAGAAAAACGTAGTAGGCCAACAAGCTAACTGTAAACTTAGCAATCGATCACACTGGAAAACGTATAAAATATAGGTAAGACAAGCATTTCCCCGGAAGCGCAACGAAATGAGAATCTAAAGAAGAACTTGTTACCCGAAAATATCCAAAACTGATTTTCACAGCTGTGTACAAGAGAACCGAGAAACACGAGGGTCCAGGTTGCTCGGAATAATCACCTAGACTAAAGACGAAGGAGCAACGGAAGCCAATCGTATCAAAGCACAAATTCCTAGTGATTGCGGGTCCCTGGGGAAGGCTAGGTTCAAGCAATCCTCATCACATATAAGCTGCGAAATCTAAGATGCATTGAAGATATTTAGATGAAGTTGTACAGTTGTACATGCTCCCATGACAGTGTAGTCACTTTACCTGCCAACCATAGAAATCTTCCTCCAACAACAAATAAACCACCATATATAAATGTCCACGCTCTTTGTCCAAGCGCTTAGCTTCTTCAAGATTTTGTTCCTCACGAAAACGTTCACGGAGGCTTTCAGGAATATCGGTTGTCGGAACGGGACACAGCACATCGTCCCGAGCCGATTCGGCGATGTACACAAGCATGTAGGCGTTGGTGCATGGTCGCATTTCCGGATCATCGGTGCCACCGAAGTTCTAAAAGCATAGCCGAGAAAAATGAATGAATAAACCCAACAAGTGGTTCATGTAATACCGACTGGTAAACACAGAAGACAACGAGGCCTACTGAGTAACTCACCATGTATATGGCGTCTCGTCTAGAACACCTGGAGACGACATCATCATCAAATTGGTACCAGACGCCGTTCCCAGAAGGATTGAGGTAAACAACATAATGGCCTCCGTGGTTATCTCCGGAGTGAACGAGGACAGCATGTAAAAAGTAGGCAGCGGGTGATGAAGGATCGGGTTTGAGAAGAAATTTGTCCAAGTTTAGCGAGTAAGGGAATTCAAAGCGATCATTGATTTTGACATTTGTGTCCGCCGCGAAATCGTACTGGAAGCGCATTAGTTGCAGATACAACACAGGAGGAAAGCGCACGAAACTGACACCCTTCTCGGCCTCTTGGAGACCATATTCGCCCGCATCATATTTGTTGTCTTGAGTGAGCGTCTCCTTCGCGACGTATTCCGTGAAGGCATCATATACGTTACGATTACCGTTCACCTTTAACTGGATATCGTAGAAGTTTTCTTCGCGTTTCGACTCGTATCTTACATTGAGGCAACGGATATAAGAGAGCATCTTACCGCAAAACAGCCCAGGAATAACGTCTTCCACCGAGGTCCCTTTCATTTTGTTCTCAAGATTGTCAAGCAGCACTCTGCATAACTCCTGTGCGTCATGTTGCATGAATGAGTCAAGTGTCGCCCAACCAAAGCTACGAGTGAGTTTCTTCGTCCCCACAGCACGATCGGAGAACTGAAGCTCATAGAAGACGCGCTGTAGAGCTAAAGGCACGCTTGTTTGAGCATCATCACTTTCGGTTGGCATCAAGAAGACCGCGCGCCTTAGTTTGTTGGTACAGTATAGAGCTTGCAGCAAAGAGTTCAGGTAACATGTAGCACCCTGATTTTTTAATCCGACATATCCAGTGTGCCGCTTGGAATCCCAATCGGCCCCATGGGGAGCGTCCGCCTTGACATGTGCTTGTAAAAGAATATCATCATTAGGTCCGATAAACCCGCGATCTGGGTTGAACAATTCATCATAAGAAATAAAACTTTGGAATCCCCAATCATTTTCTTTATGAGTGAAAGTGTGCTGAATTTTCATCTCCTTGTTCTTGCAATTCGGCCGCTGGGCTGCGAGAACCAGAGTGGCTTTGGCTGAGCAACTCCACGTCTGTGATTCGCTTTCTGCATTACACTGCACAAAGAAACCGAGGGACCCGGTGTCTGGGGGGTGGAAGATGGCCAATATCTTCCACGGAAGGCAACGGATTATGGTGCCTCCTTCACAGATCTGAAAAGGAAATATGGCACAGGAGAGACTTGACCAGTGGTCGACAAATAAGGTCGTACACACAAGGTTGGTTCGTTATTGATGTGACTCAATAAAGTATGCACTTCGTAGAATAAGTACCATAGTATGACGTTAAACCACAATGATTATGCCCCGTATTCTATCAACCAATCAGTAGCCACGGTATCGTGGAATCTAGAGTCAAATAACAAGATTTCCTAACGAAAATTAAGGTGCTAGTAAGTAGGCAACGGATTATCAATGCTCAAACTGGTGGATGATCTGCCCTTCGTTGCGGTTCAAAAGCTCGCGGATAAGGAATGCGGTGAATACGAAACGGAATTGAGAGGTGAGCTCGTTACGCTTTTAGCAGTCGATATACAGAATAGTTGGTGAGCACTAATATTTGATGGGGATAAGTAGCAGCGGTGGAGGTGCAGGTATCTGGTTTGCAGTCGCCAGATGCGTATGGGTGTCCCAGTGGTATCCTAAACCGCAGGTGATTTCATAGTGGCGAAGCGTCAGCATACGCAGCGCGCAGGAGCATTGCTGATATTTGCTTACTCATATCTGCTACACTAGGATCGCGCCAGAAGCAGTTAGGTGAACATGCCTACGTTTTAATCCTGCGATTGAAATTAAAGGCGAAGGTCTCTGATATTATAAACAGGTGTATGCGCTGAAGAGTCATTTGTTTCTATGGTCGCAGTACACGTGACGAGTCAAGATTGGGTACGCTGCACTATAGTTTGGATTGACCACAAACCGGTAGTTGAAAGCGCCAAGGTAGCAATTAAAAGTACCTACAACGTGGTACGAAGAAAAAAGGTAAAAGGAATCGTACCATGAGTGGCTCGACAGAAAAAAAGGGAGGTCAAAATTCAGAGGCAGGGCTTCATTCACTGCGAGACCACGGGAAAACGGAGTGCAAGCGAACAAACTCGAAGAAAACTTACTCTTGTGTCGCTTTTGCATTGCGGTAACTAAAAAGATGTGAACGAAATAATGGCAAAGTTGATAGGAGCATATTCGCTATTACATAAACACAAAAAACGGTAAAAGATTTGTTGAAGACGTGTACGGACACCTGTTCCGTGACCGAAATGCATTCGATGGACCTTTCTGCTTAGAAAAAGTGGTGGTGCATTAAAATTATGTATATCTACACAGGGAACCATGGCAGAAAGTTCGGCGATAGCTCACAGACACCGGTGATGTGTATGACCGTTTACATCAAGCAATGCACCGTGTTTGAAGAAGTTTAGGATGAAAAAATCAGAGTGAATACAATGGGCAGGTGCAAAACGGCCAACATGATTCCAAAATTCAGCATGAAATCAGCTCAAAGCTTTGGGAAACACCGACGTGGTTGTAACGCGAATATGACACTGAGACCAGCGTATCAGTGCAAGATCACAGAACAAGCAAAACACACCGACTTCGTAGGACTAGTAGAAACAAACTATAATTTCGCGAGCCAGCCGTTTGAAACTTAAACAATAGATGATCAGAAAGGGAAAATAATGCGACTAGAAGCCTTATTAATATAATTCAACAGAACTTGTGAAGAACACATCTAGTTGGGATAACTTCCATTTCCGTTCGTTAAAATCCTGTCAAAGAATAAATGACCGGTTATTCATAAAATCAGTAAGAGGCCTGACAAAGCTATTGGCTTCAATTAACTACGAAAAATAGAGGATGTCCCACTAATTTTAGTAAACCTAAGCAGCGTAAACTACGAATGCAAACGGGCGGTCGAGTGCGATGTTGAGTAGGGCTCATTTGCTGCTGCAATTTCTATCTCGGCATAAGTGAAGGCGGAGTGACAAGCAAACGCGTCCGTGTCCCTGCTTGAGCTAGAGAAGGAGAGAACTCCCTATCGCAGCCGTTCAAACTAGATCATACACACGTGGCAATAAAAGACATGTCCTACCACTCTGCTCTCTACCGCCGAAGACAGAAGTAGGGGTCCGGTACGGTGATTGATCATTAGTGCAACAAAGCGATGAAAAACAGGCTTCACAATGGAAGGACTGTAGCGAATTCCACGAAGAATAAGTGATAGTTGTGTTCCCAAAAGGCCAATTGATCAAGTGTCTCAAGTCCTGTAAAGCGTGAACAGTATGGTGGTAGATGTGTAGTTAAACATGTAAAATGCAGACAAGAAATCGTGTTTACTTCTAGTTAAGATTGCATTTACACCATATTCGCGAGAGCTCAAAGAGAAGCCCTCCGGGCCCTAAACGATACTGAGGAAACAGAAACAATGCTATTGAAATTCTATATAAATCAGACGTCAAACTGGTTGACCTATGCAGTTATGCATACACTGGAATATGCGAAGCAACATTAGCTTGATTTAGCAGACCCATTCAAAATGTGGCAGATCCAGTGGGCATATGTGATAAAAGAGTAAAAATCCTTATATGCTAGTTATATTTTGTGAACATGGATGCACAATATTTAATAGGCTTATGCATTCCCCAGATGACTAATGACTTCCAAAACAAGAATAACGGTTAGTAAGAGGGATCCGACGGTTGTGCGTAAGTGAGCTGTCGGGGAATTTTACTCAGCCTACTGCAAAGGATAATGAAAAAACCGTAGCGAACAACAATTGTTAAAAAAAACTTGAACGAATTACATAGTACGATCAAACAAAGCAGCTACCCTGAATCTTGAGACGTTTTCAAAACGGGCTTCCACGAGACCAGCTGCACTGGCTTCATCTTCATCCGCATAAGTCTCCATATCACCGGTTTGTTCGCAATGAGTCCCACTGCCGGGAGAGTTGTGTGTGCCGGAGTTCACAGTGAACCAGGCGCGGATATGGTCATCCTAAGCACAGAAAAAAGGCAAGAAAGCGGTGATAGAGATGAGTGATAGAAAGAAGCAAAAAGGTAAAACGTCAACGGTTATTTGCGAAAGAGAACAGTTTGGTTAACCAGCAAAACGATGACAACCCTAGTAAACTGGATGACAAAATGGAAGTTGCAACAATGAAATGCGAGATACTCAAAAACAATTTGCAAGTAAGTAGCAAGGTAAAATGACGGCCACGCCGCTGTGCAGTTTAACGCCTAACAACTACAGGCAGGTGGCCTTAACGACAGCGGTTTACATACACCAACAATGACAGTATCACTTCAGTTCAGTTGAACAACCACGATCTGGGCACCGAAGTGTGGTGAAGCTAGTTCCCAAGACTCACATAGCCAGATAAACGATAAATAGCGACAGTGAGTAAATGAAGGCAAACGGAAATAGAATATGAGGTTAGAGCACTGTTTCCGGATGCTCAGTTTAATTTTTTACTACAAAATAAGCATTACACTTTCTCGAGGTACTCTCCACCAGCGTCCATGCAGTTCCATGCGCTCAAGCCATTTGGAGGAACAGCTAGACTATGCCGAAGCATGTAACCATTCAAGCAGCTCAATAAAAACCTCTACTGCTGCTTCCAGAGACTCGTAACGGAATCCACGCGTCATGTGCTTGGCATTCAGGAACCAAAAATGTCACACGGAGCTAGGTCTGAATTGTAGGATAGGTGACTAACCTCGGATGCCTTCACTAGCCAGAAAATCTCCGACGACACGGGACCTGTGTGCAGGTGTTGTCATGGTACAGCAAAGTCCCTCGGGCTGGAGTCCTTGGACGACGACTAGCTACAGCTTCCAGCACTTGAGTGCGTTGCCGTACGAGCGGTACTGTAGCCACATGACCGGTCTTGGCAAGCATATATTAGTGTCAAATACGTCCGCACCATAACTCGGCTCTCGTTTTGTCCTGTGGCCATTCTAATTCTTCCCACATAATATTGTGCGTGCGCTTGTTCTAACCAGTTCGACGAGCTCTACTCAGTGCTTCCCACCTCTTGGATCTTAACTGCGTGAAGTGTATGCTTGCTCAAGTTCTCAGCTTTAAAATATTCTTTACCGAGTTCTAGGTGCGTAATTACATCAAACCGGAGCTTCTCTGGAAACCTTTTGGTCTCATTTGGAAGGAGCTGAGAACTCCCAAACTACGCGGTAACCATTCCTGTAAGTTGCAGCATAACAAAGTTATTTTGCTTCACTCATCAACCGAACATCTCGTCCGAGGCACTTAGGGGCGCTTATCAGCGCCCCATCTGCATCGTCGCTTAAGGCAGACCGATCAATACACGCTGCTGCCTTGTGTAGGTGTGTGCTTTCAACCGCAAGTATTTTGATCACTGAAACTGGTAGTCTGCGCGGTAAGACATTCATCTGTCGCGGCCGATTGACCCTGGCACGGCTGAACAACTTTCAACTCGTGTGCGTGTTTTGACACGTTTATGTGCTACGCCTGGCGCATAGAACATTCATCAGACGTGAGCGCCATTAACACAAAGATCGCTCGGATAGGCCTTGCTACAAACGATAAGAGGGTGGCTAGCATTCCAATGGTGCAACGTCGCCTATGTTCAACAGAGAATTGCAGTAAAGTCCTTAATATCGGAGTGACCTGTCCTGCGTTATATCGTGCTGTCCACAAGGTATATGCATATCCGTCCAAGAAGCAAGACAGACAAACAAAGTTGCTGACACATTTTGGTTTGTCCAACATGTCAACCGTTTATCTCTGCTCAAGAAAAAGTGCGGTAGGATGATTGAAATAATCGCATATTTTGAAAATATTAAGATCGCTCCCACGGAGGTAAATATGGTCACGCTAATACTTCAACCAGCCAAAGTAAGCCCTAACGCCAAGCCGAAGAAGAGTTAGACGCTCCAACCGCACTGCAGCGTCTGTCTCTAAATCCACTGGGTCACCTCAATCGTATAGGCGGACAGGCCTCAAACATGCTTGCTCCCACTCCTTCAATCCTAGACGCTTCACCAAGAGATTCAGCCATGACACTGACGGCTCAGAGCCGAAGGCAATCCGGTGCAGGTAACAAGTGGATAACGTACGCGTCGATTGCCTCGATAAACACCCAAAAGGCAAAATACGCAGGTCCATCTTTTGTACTGAGCACACGTGGGGCGACGCAGCTCTCACCATTAACTCCCGTGGTGCATTCTAAACAACCCAAATTGCCAGCAACAACTTTAAAGCCGACACCTGCTAGACAAAACCACGCTGCGTTAACCCTCGTGTGCACTAATGTTCCCGAGTCCAAAGCTGGCACAACAAAAGGCAAGTTAGTAGGCGATCGTAACCAGTGGAGTTCCATCTGCGGTGCGATTGGTATTCGGGTTGAGCCCACAATGCTTCAACGCGTAGCGCGTTACCCGACCTCAGTGCACTCTGATGAAACCGGAATGCTTCGAGTAACACTAAACTTAGTAGAAGAGACAGAGGCTGTCCTGCTCTCAGAAGTTCCTCTTCGCAACTCATTGAGTGGAGTGCGTATATTACCCGATCTCCCTTGGAAAGATCGCCCTACAGAAGCAGGTGACCAACGCGGCATTCCTAATAGTGGTAGCAGGAAAACCATATTTGTTCATGGTGTTCCCGAGCTTCTGGATTCTCCTGATCACGATGCGCTAGCACATGACCGAGAGCAGTGGTGCTACATCCGCGAAGCAATCTTTCTGGAACATGTTATTACCAACTTCTTGACAAGAGTTCCGTCATCACCTAACTACAAGGGCTGTGGTCCAAGACTAATGAAAATAGTATTGAACTCCGAGGGAATAACGCAAGTGCTATTGGACAAGTGGTCAAAGTTTCGAGTCAAGTTGCCAACAGAGATCCGGTTAAAGACAGTAGGCGCACGGCCAACAGTCGTAAACAACTCGATAGAATTGGCAAATGCCGTGAATTCTTTATCCGCACAGTCCTACGAAGAGACCGACGAAACAGCACCCACTGCCCACAACGAGAGAGCGCAGCACGAGCGAGAGTTCTGTTCAGGAAAGCTCAAAAATGTCATGCAACTTGATTGAAATTCACAAACTAAAAAAAAGATTAAAGGCCGGCCACCTAACGGTTAGCTTGAAAACAAACACAAATTCGATATCCATAAACGCACTCCTAACAATAAAAACACTACCTGATTGTACACAAACGCCAAAAGTCTTCTAAGTAAGTTGGCCGAAATTAGAGAACTCCATACCTAACAACCACAAGACTTTGTCATGATTACCGAGACCTGGTTAAACCATGAGATAACCGATTCTGATATCAATTTACCTGGTATGTCCCCGCTTCGGAACGACAGAACAGAATGGATGGTGGTGTGATTCGTTATTATGACACAAACCTCCGCGCTCCTGATTTGATTTGGTTCCGCCTATGGTTGCGGAACAAGGACACATGTCTACTAGCTGTACTTTACCGCCCACCAAACTCTACGTCGGAAATGGACTCCAAAGGGCACCACATCTTCCAGTTTGCTATGAATAAGTCCTACACCCACATTCTCGTGGCTAGCGACTTTAAGGTGCACAACATAGAAACCCCAGTAACCGATGGTGAGCAGTGTAAAGCCTCCGTGTAAGAGCCAATCGTAGGCCACCCACTTTACAACAACGTAACCTCTCCCACCAGATTTAGAACTGCTAACAAGCCGTCGATAATCGATCTTGTGCTCACTAACGAATAACTCATGGTAGACAGGAGAGTTACAAGCATGTCACTGCGTCGCAGTGACCATCTTTTTCTACTCTTTGACTATAGATGTTATGTAGAATACCATGAAAAGAAAGGTGAAAATGTGTATACTGTCACGCATTATAACGTGTTATCGACGCTTGTTAAGAATACATCTTGGACTTTCTTAACCGAATGCCCCCCAGATGTTGCCTGGGAAATGTTCACAAGGACGTTTAGCACACTGATAGCGCACGCATCGGAACAGAAGTCCTTCCAACCTAAAAACAAATAGACATCATCTCTGAGGAGCAGAACACGTAAACCCACGTTCCTGAGGGACCTGGCATGGCGAGCTCATATGAACTATCCGAATGCCGAAACCTGGACTGCATACGTGACACATCCTAAGTTCTGTGAGAAAATGATCCGCGAAGACAAAGTCGCGCATCAGCAGGTTAATGAAGCGATTCTGCACGAAACGCAAACTTCTGTACGGGCACGTTAACGGCCTTCGAATGATGAAGCGCGGAATTCAAGCACTAGTCACGGCTGATGGATGCACGCGGTCAGCAATGGAAGCAGCCGATCTCTTACGGCTTCATTACTCCCAAACTTTACAGCAGGCAACGAGCCAAAATAATCCCCTTTGTTTCTATTACTCCATCGTCGAGTTTAGACAACATCACCTTCACTGCGGAAGCTGTGTTGAAGGAGTTGTTATTCTTGCGTATCCACAGTTCTCCTGGAGTCGAAAACATCCGACCGAAGGCTCTGCAGGCAGTAGCTAATGATCTAGCAGAACCACTGGTCGTTTTCTATCAGCGATGTCCAGATGAGAACCATATTCCACCAGTATGGAAGCAAGGGGTCATCACTACTCTACACACAGGAGGTAACCGCACTGACCTTACTAACTACTGTTCAATAATGCTACTTCCTGTGCTGTCTAAAATTATGGAATCAGTCATCGCAGATGCGCTGATGCAGTATATGGAAAGCAACCACTTAATAGCCCCAGAGCAACAAGGCTTTCGTCAAAAGCCTTCGTGTACTACTAACATATTATTTGCACGTAACAGCTGGACTGAATCCGTTGATGTTGGAGCATGAGTCGACGTCATTTACCTAGACTTCTCAAAAGCAGTTATGGTTCAGACCATCGAATTCTACTTCGGAAGCTTCGAAACTACGGCAATGGCGGCCCAATCTTGAGTTGGATAAGCAATTTTCTACACGAACGACGGTTGGAGGTGAAAGTCCGGGAAACTCTGTCT